ATTTTAATTATCAAATAATTTTTTTTTTTAATAAGGGAGAATGTGAGGGGAGAAGGAGTAGGAAGCTGCACACTACAGCTTTGAATTCTGACCGAAATCATAAATTTAAGTGCAACTGACCAAAGCAGCCGAAGCTGCGGGTGAATTATCAAATAATTTTAATTTTCTACCATTCTTAAAAAAAAAATTTTCTAAATTATTTACCACATTTCAAAAACATTATATTGGTCTCACGGTTAATAGTTTGTGGTGGGCAGGCATACTAGGCGAATCTATGTAGAGACCGGTGGGGCTATGACTCCCTCTAGTCTTTTGAAAAATTTTAAAACTAGTTAACAAACTTTTTTTTTTAAGATCTTAATTTTTAATTTTTTTATTTAATTTATTATTGTAATTTTTATGAAAATAATTATCATTTATCCTTTTTTTTTATAAATTTTGTTCTTCAATTCAGAATAAAATGTTAACATAACAATTAGTGAGTCTTTAAATTGACTTACTAAACATAAAAAAATTCTTTTTAATTTCTAATATTTTTTTGTCAAAAAGTTGACAAAAAAAAATTTAAACTTTTAATATTTCTTCTGTTATTTTCCTATCTTCTTCTTACCCTGTATTTGAATTTTGTATCGCTCCTTGTTCATGTTCAATTTAGTCTAAGCATTATAACATATTATCTGAAATATTCTTGTGGCAACATACCCCAGTCAAGTCATATGCGAAGAAAGTTGCACATTTAAACTTGGCCTAAATCCATGAAGTGTGTCATATTAGTAATATAGAACAATAGAAAATAACAAAAGTACAAATGAGACAAGGCAAGAAAAAGCTTCTCGCTTTCTAAGTTAAAAATCATTGGCTAATAAAAATCGTAGGTATGGTGTCATGATATAAAGCATGCAGCCCAATTGAGATAGAGTTTAGCGTTGATATATGGGTGAAAGATAAAAGCAAATTCCACCCATCTCACTCTAGCTCTTTGATGACATAAGTTGCAAATTTTGGGATGATAATTTAAAATTAATGATATAATTTATATTATAATATTAAATTAAATAATTAATATAATATTATAAATCTCAAAAACTAAAAAATAAATATTAAATAATATAAAATTTATTTTTTAATATTTTAAATAAATAATATAAATTACATCATTTATCTTAAATTTTAATCTTAAATTTTAATTTTATTTATCATTATTTATAAAATTAATATTAATTTAAAGAACTAGTATATTTTCTTACCGACTAGCATAATACCACAATAAATATGGATGAAAAAAAATAGTGTTTGGAATAAAAAGCACTGAGAAGTCAATATTTAAATTAATTTCACAATATAATAAAATTTAAAATTTATTTTTTCAGACAATTATTGTTCAAATTTGTACCCACACTCTCAAAAAAAAAAAAAAAAAAAAAAAGAAGAAGGAAAGTCCGAGTCATGACCTCTCTTTAGAAAAAGTGTCTTTATCAAGCCAATGATGCAGTATTTTTATTAAAAAGAGTAGTGTCCAATCTCCAGTAACTTGGTGATACTTTTTTACAACACCATCGCGTCACAGGGATTGCAGCATGCTGATCATCTAGCAAAAGGGCAATCTAGAGATTTAAAAACCGCGGGGCAACAGTAGTGGTTGCCTTGATCCACCCCTATTTTTACTTATATATATACCACCATCTATTTCACAATACCGTATCGACTCTCCAGCATAATTTGCATACTTTCCCCCAGAGCTATTGAAGTGAAGATGGGCGATCTTGTCTTGGGTCCTGTTGTTGAAGCCACCATAGACAAGGTGATTTCAGCTGCTACTGAGCAAATCAACCTTGCAGTCAGTTGGAAGGCAGAGCTCAGAAGACTTTGCAACAAGTTGACCATGATCCGTGCTGTGTTGCAAGATGCAGACAGAAGGCAAGTTGGAGACTCAGCTGTGAAGCTTTGGCTTGAGAACCTCAGAGATGTGGCTCGTGAGGCCGAGGATGTTTTGGACGAGGCTGTTTATGAAAGACTGAAACAGGAGGTGCAAATCCAAAAGCAAATGAAGAAGAAGGTCTGCCTCTTCTTTACTTTCTCCAGTCCTTTCATATTTCGTCTTAAGATGGCGAATAAGATCAAGAATCTTATTGCTTCTATAGTTGAGATTAATGAGGAGGCTACTCAATTTGGACTTCAGTCCAGACATGCTACCTATGAACCTAGAAGCAACCCTCAAACAGCATACTCCTCCCCTGGTTATTGTCCTAGAG